GTCGCGTGTCCTGGATATCATGAAGCTTGATATAAATAAACACGAAAAGTAGCAAATGTTCTATTTCAGTAGAATTGTATGCAGAGATTAGAAATTTACCAGGAAATAGGGCTTTTAACTCAGAAGTTCCGGTCAGATTTCAATAAAACGTAAGGTTTAGGAGAACAGGGAACCTTACAAGATATAGCCACGATGATGCCCTTAGTGCTTCAAGCCATGCCTGGCCGCATAGTGAGTTCTCAGTGCATATTTCCCAAATCAATTACCATTTTAATATTTTACCCACCTGAAATACTGTTCTGTGGTTTTATTTAAACTGGTTGTCAGCATGGAATGACTTCTGCATTCTCTCCTGGAAGTGGGTGAATTTCCATGGTGAGCAATTCCTCTATATACAGTTTGCAAATCATTTTGGGAACCTTCCAAATGAAAGGCACTGTATAAATATACCCTCCCACCAGCAGCCAGCCGGCTTTCCACCGGGGATGCATTTGCATCGCTTATGTACATAGTGTTTCATTTGGGGCATTGCTTTTATTTTTATGACCATAAAAGAAATATTCACAGTATGAACAATAATGTAAACTGCATTCAAGAAGATATATATTTGTGTATTTTTGTGATTCAAAACTTAGAAATCTGAAAGAAAAGCAGGCATGGCATTTTTCTTTCCTGTTGCTGTTTGCTTTTTCAAACCATTCTTTATTATTCCTGAACTTTCGGGTGGAATTTTGCTGAAATGCTCAAGTCTTTGTCTGTACCTCATTTGAGTTTATACAGGGTGGGTTCAAATGAATGCTGCTGGTAAAAAGGACTAAAAATGAAGGGCATTAGATTTTGCATTTATTCATGTCAGTAATAAGTTTGCTTTTGCACAGCCTTTTTGTTGATGGAGGCCCCTTTAAGAAGAGAAAAAGAAGAGCAAGCAACCTCAGGTATAAAATACCTTCTGATAACAGTGTAATAATGGGAACATTCACAGATGGGAGAGACTTTGAAGTGATGATGTTTAGCCTTCATAACAAAAGAGGGGCTGATTTCACACAGCATTGCTGTGGAGATGGACTTTGAATTCATACCACACAGAAAATGTTTAGTGAACTTCGAAATAATTTGCCAACAGAGTTAAATCAAAACTTCTGTAAATTATGTCTTTATTTTCCTAGAATCATCTGCATACAAAAATGATCGGAATTTATCTTCCTAACTTATACATTTCCATCATTAATTACTTTAAAAATGAATGAAATAACCCCACTCCAGATATATTTTCTAGCATTAAGTTTATTCTCTCATTCAGGAGTTCATTAAAAAGAGAAGCTACTCTGAATGTTCAGCATAATTTTGTATAACAAAACCCCTTCAAAGGTAGCTTAAATCAAACCCTCCCCCACCCCACTGAGGAATGATATAACGTGTGGAAAATGAAACTTAGGCTACCAATAGAGGTAGAATCAATAACAATTTGAGTTCATTTTCTGTGTTCACAACTCTCTTTCATAAACACCAATTTTATATAGTATTTCCTCACTTTTTACAACCAACACAATGAATGTAATTTTAAAAACTTCACCTATCATGTAGTAATATTAGGAAGTAACTCACTCATGTTACTTTGTGGCTTATAAAGTACATATTCATTTCTCCTTCTCCTCAGCCAGAACATTATTCTAAAATTTAATTTCATAGTCCCAGTACACCAACTTTGTTTGTTTAATCTGATATAAAATATCTTGACACTGTTCTTATTACCATAAAACAAAACAGCAGTTTCTTCAACTGAGAAAGGCTATAAGCATGGATTGATCTGCAGCCAGTTTTTACTACAAGCCCCATGATGCTTTGCATTATAGCCTACAATCCCCATACTGCAGCACCAAACATAGTGTTAACTATCCTGTTACTGGCAAAGAAAGAAACAAAACATCTGAGAAGAACTATGTAACATGCAAGAGTTCTACTTGAGTCACAAAATATTAATTTTTCAGTGTTTTGGGATTTTCTTGCCTTTCCCTTTAGTTAAAAAAGGAAGCCTATATATTGATATACACATTGCCTTATCCTGAATAAAATGTCATATATTCTCCAGGTGTCAAGGTATATACCTCCCATATCAGAGCCTTTGTTTTTACACATTTCATTGAGGCCTGTACCCCCACCTGTTTTTGAAGGAAGGTCAGTTCTAGTCAGATTTTAAAATAAAATTATAATACATTGTTTAATGCTCTAAACATCTGCAAATGAGAATTCAGTGAAGTAATTAAAATTCTTAATTAGATGCACCTTGCAGCTGCTGTTAGTCTTAATTGGCAATAATGCAGCTATATTTTGTTCTGACACATATCTTCTGAAGAGTTAGAGAGAAAACTGAAGGGAGGCAAGAGGAAAATGTTCCCACACAGTTCAAGACAGTTCGCACAAAGAGGATCCCATGGCAACAAACAGCGAGGCCCACAGTTGGCTCTGTAGGATCCAGGAATAGATAATGCTTCACCTCAGATTCAAACAAACACTTCCCTTCCTGGATGCGAAGACAAAACGTTTGGAAGCATCTCTTGCAATAAGAATGAAATGAACAAATGCTCCCTGTGTGTTTAAGGTACTTCTCAATGCTTCTGGATGCTCTCTGTAGCCCAGGTCAAGGCAATAATTTCCACTCGGACTCTGTGTAGAGTAACAAATTGACTTGCAGAATCATTGCAAATAGAGGAGTTGAATTTTGTCCTGTATTGAACTGGACCACACCATGGCAACTAAGTTCATTTTAACTCTCATTGTATAGACAAAGAAACATAAGTGAAGAGAAATGAGTGATTTCCATGAGTGATTATGGCTACTTGGGAGTTGAATTTTGAGTCACATCTAGAGTTTGAGCATATGGTCCAGGATTTTTGCTTCTGGACTTCTCTCAGAGCAACTAAATTTATTAACTGCAGCCCCTCCAGGTTGCTTGAGGTATAGTTCTTCACTTAAGTGAGTCATCAAAAGGAGTGTGATGGAAGGTGTAGAAAATGTGGATCACTCACCGTGAAGGGGTGTGGGGATATATTTCCTGTTTATCTTTGGTCCTCAGATTACTCTGAAATATATAGCATATGGAGAAAAAGCAGGGAGGTAAGAAGGACTGGGATACAGGAGGTTAACCTGGGTGAGTTCCCTTCAGAAAAACCCGCCTAGACTTGCCTACCCACCTTCACATCTTCCCTCCCCTTGAAGCAGAAAGTTCAACCGAATGCTCACTCCTTCAAAATACAGATTTACCTATTTCCAGTCTCCCAACCCACATTTATTTGCACCTGTGCTCTGACTTAGTTTAGCTTGCATTAGTTTAGCTTACATTTTAACTATTTTTTTGCAAGTGTTTCCTTTATCTTCAACTTGTGTTTTACTTCCTATATTAAATTTAGATTGTTCTCAAGGGCCAAGGCTGCCTTGCCTATTTATTTTTCTATTTCTGGCTTATCCTGTGAAACCTTCCTTCATAAAAGCTGGTGGAATACATTGTAGAGTGGGTTAAGGTTTCGAAGAATGGGAACTACAGGAGGTGTGTGGGAAAGGTTAAAAGGTGGCGAAGAGAGAGGGACAGTGACTGTCCTGCCTCTCCAGTGCGGGAACCTAGCATTGTGGCTGCAATGTAAATGTGAACACTCCCCTAGGGTATTGAAACTCCAATTGTAGCCCCTAGTCCTACAGCATTACTACTGTCTTTGGAGCAGCTTGTTAGAGACAAGTTTCTCAGGCTTCACTGGGAAAAGGACTGACTCAGAATCTGCATTTTAACGAGGTACCCAGGTGATTTGCATACATTAAAGTTTGAGAAGCACAGAATCACAATACGTGTTATACAATCCAAGGTAAATGGACAAGGACCTTAAACTGAGCAAATACTCTATTTACCAGATCCTACTTTGTTCCCTTTTCTTCATCACAAATCCATTTCAGAAATCCGCAGCGAACTCTTCCGTAAGGAACTCTAACACGATGGCTGGGAGGAGGATCTTACTCGATCCCCTCTGGTCTGCCCCACAGCCCATTCCCTTAGCCCGCTCCCAGGGAGCTTTCCACAAGCGCTATTCTCCCAAGCTCCACTTTCTTAGGGAGGATTTGCTCCTTCCCAAACAGAAAGAGCGGTTGCAGGGAGGGTTACTGCCTGAAGGACTCACAGTTTACATACCAATGGAAACTGAAGCGCTTTGCAAAACTACCCCTAAAAAACAAGTAACACTTTGCCTCCTCAGATTTGGAACAGCCCTCTGAAGTCAAGCCCCTCCCTTTCGAAATCCGCCTTAAAGTGATAGAGAGGGAGAGGGAGAGGGAGACAGAGAGAGAGAGAGAGAGAGAGAGAGAGAGAGAGAGAGAGAGAGAGACTGAGAGAGAGAAATGGAGAGATTGAGAGCGACAGAGAGCGAGAAAGAGCAAGGGGGGAGATCGCGCGCATTAATAAATCCGCTTCAAAGAGAAGAAATGAAAGGTTACTATGACTGTCAGTCTAGGCATCGCTTTCTGTACCTTTCTGCTTCCTAGAGAAATGGAGCCATAATTCTAGGGCGGCTAAGGTAAAATTAGGTAAGCACCCAGATTTGTCAGTCCACTTTTGCCTGCAAGGACAGATTCCCGTTAGTGGAGATCTCCCAGGGTACTGTCTAAAAGATTCCCAGGCTACCCTCCGTTCTCTTCCGTCTTCTGAAAACTAAAACTCGCAAAGCGGTGGCTGGCTGTGGATTGGCTAGTACTAAAATATCCATTGGGTGGCAGTAATACTATCCTCTTTATGACTTGCAGCAAACCAGAGAATGCATTCAATCAAATGAACCGATCTTGTAGAAACACTGGAATCATTTATGCATTGCAGTTTCTCTTTCTTGTTTTTTGCTCTTTCTTCCCTGGGATATTTTGAGTGGATTGTGGCTATAAATCAAGATCTCTTGCTATTCGTGGTTTGCTTGTCGTTTTCGCTCAGGATTAGTATCATTCAAGACAAACGAAAAGCTGCCTTTTCCCCCCTCTCTCTTTTGAAAAATCATTTTTGGGGGCTGTTGAAGAGAGCTAGGACCCAGGAGACACCTTCTCAAACAGCAGGGGTTGTGTGCTTTCACATACCAGTACTGTACAAGGAAAACCCGTCGGATCTGTTATTGCGGGATACTTGTGAAATATACATAGGATTCTTTCTATGGCTGCATCCCGGATCTGGAAATTTTACTTGGGGACCAGGCGGAATTGAAAGGCTACATGTATCCTGAAGATTTGCAAGCAAGACTCCGGTTCTTGTGGTAGAGCTCACAGACTTCCTCACTTGTCAGCCTTTTTCCTTCCTCTTTTTTCTTCAAAAATTATTTACCTCCCCTTTTTCCTGTGCTCTCCTCTCTCAGTCTCTCCTTTTCTATCTGCCTCTTCTTTTTTTCTCCCAGTCTTTCCCCCCTGCTCTGCACCTGGATTGTATCTTCACCAAACAATCGGGCACTTTGAGAACTAACTGGAGACAGTCTTGTAGGGGAAGATCTGTATGGAATTATCTGCTTTTATGGTGAACTTGGCATTTGTGAATGGGTATCTTGTTCACGATATTAATTGCTAGCAAAAACAAGAAAAAGAGCCCAGGAGTAAAACGTGGATTTTTCTGAATACGCATTGTGATGACCAGCAATTACCTTACCGACTAATATCCAGAGGAGAATAATTTGGAAGACAGTTGTGGGTAAGGTCATTTTCTATATGCAAAGCCAGCAGTGGCATGAGCAAACTTGGGCGTTTGGAATGGGAATAGGTGACTTGGATGATTGCTGCATCGCACTGATGGCTGTGATGTGGCCGTTATTGGCACCGAGTGGAAGAACTGCAGTTGGGTGTGTTGGTGTGTGTGCGTGTGTGTGTGTGGATGTATGTGTGCCTGAATGCTGAGTTTAATTGAAAATAAATCAAAGCATCGCTCTCCACCCCCAATTATTTTGATGTGGCAGAGTGTCTTGAATTAATTCTGGGTAAACATTCTTTGTTTAGATGCAATATTTGGGGCTCCTGCCTTCTGGAGGGGTAACAGCAGTTAAAAAGACCACTTAGTGAAGAGCCCCAGTTAAAATGAAACGAGCTACTCTTTATTCATTAAAAGAAATATGTTTTCAACTCGGTGCAGCATTCTGCTGCATTTCACAGCCGCAATGGGACCAGGGACATCCCACTTGTCAAGTTCCTAAACTTTAAGGTGATAATCGTTGTTAATTGTTCGCTAGGATGTGGTTATTGGAGATTATTAAGTGCCACGACTACTTTTCTATCTATTGGATTATCACTCAGAGTGAAAAAAAGGAAAGGAAAGAAATAAAAAAAGCTGAAAATGATGACAAAATAGAGACAAGTAGGGTGATAGTGTCTTAAATGTGACCATAGTCTTTTCTTTCTCAAGTTCAATTGTCCAATAATGTAATTATTTACCCAATACCCTAAATAGCTGAAGCTGCGACCCACGTGCAAGGAAGTCGAAGGTCTGGAAGCAGAGAGAATCCTTTTATTGCAATGCAGCCAGCTTAGGAAATGCAGGCAATTCCACACTTCCTTTAACCTTAAGTTGAAGATGTGCCCTCTCTGCTGTTTTACCCTTTTGGTAAAAAGTTAGAGACTAGAGCACTAAGGATGCTAAAGTCTATTCTGCCCTGGAAATGGGATAAAAAAATCAATACTGATGACGTGGTTCAGTGCACTGTACTGCAATGCTAACGTCCCACTTTCAGTACCTATGATGAGAGAATGGAGCATTTACATGTGTTATAAATCTCACCTGGTAGATTGATCCCAAGGGGAGGGGAGAAGATATGTGAATATGTAGGAAGATGGATGGAAGTCGTGCATAATCGGTGATTATGTAACTTCATTACATCAGTGAGCTTCAGTCAACGATAGTGAGATGAAATGATTGTACAGAGAGAGGCTCTATCACCCTGTTAACTTTTGAAGGTTTGTAATAGCTTACAAAGGAGAGCATCAAGCAGAGATTAGCTCTAAGGGTCCTGCAAACCTTGATCCCTTCAGCGAATTTAGCATGAGTTTTCTCATAGTGAGTTTCTGAGGGATAGCAGATCATGTAAGCTTTAGGGCTGGACAGGAGCAATTTTAGCCACACCCGTGGAGAGTCGAAATGTGTCCGCAGTGTTTCACAAATGCCCCATTGAGTAATTGGGGCTGCTGATTCCAGCCAAGGTCATAGTTCTTTTTCTTATGATTGAAATATGTAACCCCAACTGAGTGGAAAGTTAAATCCATTGAAATGAAGACTGTGAAGGGAATGACTATTTAGTGTCCTCTGTTGCATTTTTTTTCTGGTAAAGCTTGTTGCAGATTTCAGTCTGGTGCTTCCCTCATAAAAAATGATGATTGTTTCCCCTGTATGTCAGAAATGAGTGCCTTGTACCTTTATCTTTGCCATGACAACCTCTTTCTGGGCCATTTTAACCCTCTGGGAAAAGAAAAGTAAAAACCTTTAAAGGTAACGATATCTTGTGAAATTTAAAAAAAAATGAATGGCATCAAATGATTTATTAATGCAATAATAAGAGAAATAAAGAGTAATATATTTTCAAGTTTTATTTACTGAAAACCTTTCAAAACATGTTGCAGTCCCACAGACTTTTACCATGAGATGAGATGAATGCACTATGTTCATTGTACAGAGGAGAGAATACTGCAGAAGAAAATGTCATTTCTTCTTCATGTTTTATTTGAACTGTGTGTTTAAAAAAGCAGATGCACCTCAGCTTTTATTGGTCTCCTACTCTTGTAGGATCTGTTTATTTCTCAATAGATAATGTATTCACCAAAAATGAAACTGCTGACATTTTAACACTGTTCAATTGACTCTTATCATCTAGTTGTGCTATTTCTTATTTTCCATTGCATTTATTTTACAAAGAAGGCTAAATGACTTTTCTGTCAGGGGCATGAGATGATTCTTCCTGTTTTTCCTTTATTTCTCATAGTCCATTTCCTTACAATCCTATGTAGTTTTGTGCAGGATCTAGATGCCCACTAAGTAACTTTGAAAAATTTGCTCATCTCAAATCGGAATGGTGGGATTGTGGAGTGAAATTTCAAGGTCTGATATTTGAGGTGACTTTATTATTTCTGCAGGACATGCCCAAACATTGATATACTGTGCCAGTGGATTTGGAGGTTTGGTGTTCATATTGTGTAGGAAATTGAATGTGAAGTTTAACTCCTGATTCCTTCCTTCAGGGGTCAGGGTAACACTACGGCTGCTTCCAGGCTGTTAGGCTCCAACTACGTGCAGAAATATAGTCTGCAATGATTTTTCCTGCATTTTCTTATTTCAATATTTTATAAATGACTTCCTCTGTTGTTTTCTGAGTTAAGCCACACATATGTTACCAGACAGGGTGTACTGTGCAGGTTTTCAAAGCTCACTAGGGGATGGAAACAATACCAGAAAGACAGTAAAAGCAGTCAGTACTAAAAGAAACTGATATATATATATATATATATATATATATATATATATATATATCCTTTTACTTGAAGACTGCATGGACTCACATTAAGAATGACAGTTTCAATCATTTTATTATTTTATCATTTTTGTGGCTCCTTATAACCTGTTACTTTCTTTAGGAAGAGGATTATGTAACCAAGCAAGGCAGGTTATGGCATTTTTCTTAAGTATCCTACAAATCAATAATAAAGCTTTGCTTGATAGGTAAAGATTCAAACATGAAGACAGTGAATAATGAAAGCTGTAATAGTATTCTTCTATTTTATTCCTATTTTGTCAGCCCAAGTCATGCAGTTAGATTAAAAAATATTTGGGAAAAAAAGGAAAAATATCATTTATCAATATGGAAGCTGCTAATTTTGCTTCCTGACCAGTTGCTTCAGCAAATTCAAGAGATTTAGCAGATAATAATCACAGTATATCTACAACTGGAGGAAATTTTAAATAGAACGTTTATTATCTATGCAATATATTTGAACAAATCTGTGTTATTTTTGAGTTAGTAATAGAAAACATTTTTTGGAAACAGTTGAACTTTAAAGATTAATTGAAGAATTATATTTCAAAATCTTTTAATCTGTTATAAACTGAGGTATCTGCATATAGTTTGTCTGATAACAAATGTGATCTTTAGTGTTTGATAAATCTTGTGCTTTGATAAAGACCATTTTATAATTTGTGACAACCAAAGAAGTGTTGATTAGGAAGGTTTAAAAGTAGCAAGTTTTCTGGTGATGCTAAAGTTCTAAAGCATAATTACAGTGGTGCCGTTTGGGCAGCTATAGATAAGGTCGTGTCAGCATTTTTATTATTAAATTCCAGTTCTATTTACATTAGTCATATCAGGAATCTCAAAGCAGAAGGAGTCCAGCTCTCTGAGATATCAAGGCACTGTAGAATTCTGGGCTGAGTCAGAGTTGGACTTCAGGCTCTGTTAGTTGCTACCCTTGTGACTGCTTTGTTAGTCCCTATCCTGGTGACCTCTGACACTGCACTTGACGTCTCAGTTCCAGAGAATCATTAAAAAATAAAAGAGTTACATGTTCCTCTAAAGAAAATGACATTTCTCTAAATGCTTAACACCATGCTGTACTTAAGAAATATATGAAATTGTTATTATTTAGGATTCTCTCAAGTCTTATGAATTTAGGAGAGCTTTTTTATGCACTAGCTGTAAATCTTTATAGACCCATCTAGTATCAAGCAGAGTTAGCTGGTATGTACTGCTGTACTGACTTCCACTTCTCAGTTTTTTCTCTCAGGAGTACTCATGGGAATATAGCTGTCTCATGTAATTAAAAAATAGTTGCTTTTGAATAGCATTTGAAGAGTGGTAACTAAGACTTTTGGATGTGAGAGTGTTTTCAGAAGATTGCATTTTTGAATGGTCCTGAGTACTGAGGAGATTCTGTTTTCGTACCAAGAGTACACAAATGTACACAAATAAACATGATGCTACTACTTGAATTGGGTCAGTTGACCACAAAGCATCTCTCAGCTATCATTTCATTAGCAAACACATAATAGGGCTGAATAGCAACTACAGTATAATAGAGGAGGTGACAACATAAAGGCACCAGTTCTGTTTAGAATTTTCTAGCTGCAATAATTACTAATGTTCTTTAGGGGGAGGCAATCCCCCATGTGTCACTACTAAAGCTGCATTTCTCTAAGGCTCAGGTATCTTAACATAAATATATTTACATATGTAAGAAGAGGATAATAGTGATTTGAGTTTCCATGTATGTCTTTAAGCGACAGGATAAATAGGCTGAATGCAAGATTTTATATTTTATATACATGGGAGAATTAGAAAGTGAAAATTTTGTCCTGTAAGAAAACAAATAAATGTACATGGACTTAAAGAACTTTCATGTTATAGAGCAATCAGTTCTTCCTAACTTCCCAGTGTCTTCCTTTTTATGTTAACGATCCTCAATATCTCTTTGTTTCACATGATTTTGATCATGCATATTTGTCAGACTCTATTGATGCCTATGAATGGTAAATCTTTTCTTGATTTCCTGTATTTATAAATGGATGTTCTTTATGTCTTAGTGAAACACTTTAGATTTGTTCTAGGAGATTTAGAAAGGAATATAATAGGAATGTAGACAGGCTTGTTTATTTGAAAAATTCAGCTAATCAACTTACAAATATGCTTTTAATTTTCACCCAGAGAATGCCACCCTGGAGTG